GATGTAGTTAAAATTTGCCTTTCTACCCTTTGCTCTTCCTCATCAGTATTTAGAAATTCCTCAATCTTTTCAATTCTATTCACCATTGCCTTCTGCAATGTCTGAATCTCTTGTCCAGAATTATGTTCCAAAGCCTTCATTGAGGATTCTAAAGTATGAAGTTTGTCCGTTAGAGATAACATCTCATCTTTGGACATAATTTTTATGGCATAAACCGTGCCTTCTTGTATTGACAATCTTTCCGTCAATCTATCATAAGCTTTAGACAAAATCCGATTGTCACATTCAGCAGTTTTGATTCTCTCAGTTAATGTTTCATTTCCTACAGAAAGGGACTGAATCTTATGGTCCAGATCAGCTGTTCCCTCTTCCATAGTAATGAATTTCTCCTTAATATCAGCCACTAATGTTTCAGTTCCTACAGAAAGGGACTGAACCTTACTATCCAGATCAGCTGTTCCCTCTTCCATAGTAATGAATTTCTCCTTAACATCAGCCTGGAGAACTTCAAACTGATTCTTGAGAAGATTGTTATCAGCCTGGAGAACTTCAAACTGATTCTTGAGAAGATTGTTATCATTCTCAATTGTTTTTAAGCGTTTAATCTCTGCCTTACGAATCCTGGATTCGTCTCGTAAAGACTTTATCATATTTCTATTATCAAACCATTTGGTGCCAATGAAAACTACGAATCCCAGAAGGATCCATAGATGTGGGGTGATAGACACCTCTTGTAAAATCTCCCACATGGTACAATTAAAAAAACTGTTAAATTCTTGAACAGTAATGTGTTCAGACATTTTATTTATAAAAGAAAAATTTTTTACCTGCAATGATCGGTTCCTGTCAGTGGTGGTCTCTGTGTTTTTGGAGCCTGTCCTAGAACTAGCTCTTGTAGACCAGGCTGGCCTCGAACTCAAAGAGATCCGCCTGTCTCTGCCTCCCAAATGCTGGGATTAAAGGCGTGCACCACCACGGCCTGGCAGGCCTCAAACTCACAGAGATCAGAGATCCGCCTGCCCTTGCCTCCCAAGTGCTGGTATCAAAAGCGTGCGCCACCACTGCCCGGCCAAGTCACTCAGACCAAATCTGACGCTGTGGCAGCTTTTGTTGCAAAGCCGCAGCTACTTGAGCTTCTGCTAATTCAGGCAGTGGGGTTCTGCTGCAAAACTTAGCCAAGGCAGGCAGAATGGGCCTGTGTGGCCGAGTATGTCTCGGACTCGGCACTGGGGCCGGAGTCACGAACTGAAAAACAGCACCCGGGAGGGTGCTGTGTTAGGTAGCGGGCTACCCGCTTGAGTCGGGGGCAAAATAGCCCGACGTTGGACGCCAAAATGTAGCGGCGTAAACGAATGCAGACAGATTGTAACAATATATATAGTTTTAATGTAGAAATAGACTTACAGAACCACCGTTCCTGCGGAGACCAGGAAAGCAGAAGAGACAGCTTAGAGCCTGCTTGCCAAATTTATAGGCAGACATTAGCCCAAGGCGAACACGCCCCCTAAGGGGCGGGACTTATCCCTACAGGTCTCTGCACCCTTTCCAGTTGTGGGTGGCAATCACCACCTCTTGAAGAAAGAAGTGAATCTGGTGAAGGTTGAGAGGTGCACTAATTAAGGATATAAAAAAAGGTCACTAGGAGTCAATGTAACACTATGGCCATTTATCAGAACAATGATATTATGTTCTCCCCCAGGACCGGTGACCTGTCTAGCCACAGATTCTTAGGCCTGGTATTGGTCCCCAGGTTTGGCTTTCAATTGATGGATGGGCCTTAAATGCAACCAGAAAGCAGTTAGTTTATCCCCATGACATCCGTGCCCTGTTGTACCAGTGGGCATGTCCTGTCAGGCCCACCATGATTGTGAATTTCAGGGTTTACGGCCAGATAAGATTTATGGTTATTTCTCCTTTGCTAGCATACATAGCACCTCACAGGACTGTGAAAACTAGCCATCCTGGAAGAAACTTCCAGATGTTTTTCCCAATCGGTTTCTTTACATTATGTGACTTAAGTAGGTGGTGTCTTTTCAGTAGGGTCTTACCATCAATTTCTGGATGGTAACTAAGAACACTGGCAATGGCCTGGAATGTCTGAGGGTCTGTGGGACCCCAGTGGTCACCAGCTCCTCAAGTGGTAACCATTCTGGACATTGGGTCTTTCATTTGTTGGCCTGTGGTAAGGGCTTGTCCCCTCCATTTACAGTCTTCTTATTTGTGTAAGTATATATTTTAAGAAGCTTCTACAGTAGTAGGCTTCCATGTAATTCTAATTTCCTGGCCTCTGTAGACATTCCAGATGACACACATACATCTAAAGAATCAGAGAAAACATGACACATTGTGTTTCGGGATCTGGGTTACCTCACTCAGGATGATTGCTTCCAGCTTCATCCATTTATCTGAGGACGTCTTAGTCTCTTTTTTATTAACAGCCGGATAATATTTTATTGTGTAATCATACTGCAATATACATAGATGTCCAGGCTATTGAATAAATACTGGAGAACATGGATGAGGAAGTATATCTGTAGTAGGATACAGAGTCCTTTGGGTATAGAATGCTGTAGCTAGATAGCATGTGGTAGGTTCAATCCTAGATTTTTGAGAACCTTCCATAGTGCCCACTTTGTGCTCCCGTGAACACACAAAAAAAGTGCTCCTTTATCCCCTGCTTTTTCAGTCACAGTCCAGCTGGCCTTGGTGAGCTCCCAATAGATCAGCCCCACTGTCTCCGTTGGTGGGTGCACCCCTCTTGGTCCTGACTTCCTTGCTCATCTTCTCCCTCCTTCTGTTCCTCATTGGGACTTTGGGAGCTCAGTCCAGTGCTCCAGTGTGGGTCTCTGTCTCTATCTTCATCCATCGCCAGATGAAGGTTCTATGGTGTTATGCAAAATATTCATCAGTAACCGGACTCTCTGAACATGGCGGACAATGAGGGCTGCTGAGAAGCCAAGGACTATGGCACTGGGTTTTGATCCTACTTCATGTTCTGGCTTTGTGGGAGCCTAGCCAGTTTGGATGTTCACCTTCCTAGACCAGGACGGAGGGGGGAGGACTTTGGACTTTCCACAGGGCAGGGAACCCTGACTGCTCTATGGACTGGAGAGGGAGGGGGAGAGGAGTGGGGGGAGGGAGAGAGGAGTAGGAGGATGGGGAGAGGAGTGGGAGGCTGGGAGGAGGCAGAAATTTTTTTTCTCAATAAAAGAAAAGACTGAGAATGTAAAAAAAAAAAAAAAAAGTGCTCCTTTGCACTTTTGTGAAAAATGCCAGAACTCGACACAAGAGGGCAGCAAAGCCATTTGACATAACTTTTCTGCACGGTAACTTTTTGCTGCTTGGAAGCCGTTTCAGAGCTTACGATTTTCTTCTGGCTTTCCATTTTTACTTTGGTGGTTTTCTGGCTAGCGTGCTCCGGTGATACTGATTTACTGACTGCCTTTTGAATTGCAGTGGGCAGTTCTTGTGCTGAGACGAGCCCGAGTAGGGTCCTGTTAGCTAGATTCTTGTCAGCGTTGCGGTTCCTTACTCTGCAGTTTTCCAAACACAGCGCTCTGGGGTGAAATGTGATGGTTCAGCAAGTCTTGGGGTACTGATCCCCTGGTGCAGGCCTGACACTGCAGCCTCCAGCTCCCCATCTGCCCGTTTCCACTGCTTCTCCCAGGGAAGAGCTCATGGTGAGCTCTTAGGTTTCTCAGAACACTCAGGCAGCCGTGGTTTCAAGTTTGCCTCATAGAGACGAGGAAGGCAAAGATGGGGTTAGGAGGCAACATGTTTCTTGTCAGAAAAAGACTGGAGTAGGGACTGCATCACTGAAAGATTATGGGGACTGAAGGGCAGTTCCATCTGCCTGTGGGTTCCCTAGCAGGTGCTGTCCACAGGTGTGCTAGTGCCTGTGGGTTCCCTAGCAGGTGCTGTCCACAGGTGTGCTAGCACCCATGGATTCCTACAGGTTCCCTAGCAGGTGCTGTCCACAGGTGTGCTAGCACCCATGGGTTCCCTAGCAAGTGCTGTCCACAGGTGTGCTAGCACCTGTGGGTTCCCTAGCAGGTGCTGTCCACAGGTGTGCTAGCGTCTGTGGGTTCCCTAGCAGGTGCTGTCCACAGGTGTGCTAGCACCCATGGATTCCTACAGGTTCCCTAGCAGGTGCTGTTCATAGGTGTGCTAGCGCCTGTGGGTTCCCTAGGAGGTGCTGTCCACAGGTGTGTTAGTGCCTGTGGGTTCCCTAGCAGGTGCTGTCCACAGATGTGTTAGTGCCTGTGGGTGCCCTACAGGTGCTGTCCACAGGTGTGCTAGCACCCATGGGTTCCTACAGGTTCCCTAGCAGGTGCTGTTCATAGGTGTGCTAGCACCCGTGGGTTCCCTACAGGTGCTGTCCACAGGTGTGCTAGCACCCATGGGTTCCCTACAGGTGCTGTCCACAGGTGTGCTAGCACCCATGGATTCCTACAGGTTCCCTAGCAGGTGCTGTTCATAGGTGTGCTAGTGCCTGTGGGTTCCCTAGGAGGTGCTGTCCACAGGTGTGCTAGCACCCATGGGTTCCCTACAGGTGCTGTCCACAGGTGTGCTAGCGCCTGTGTAAACCAGCAGCCAAAGCAGCCATTGGCCAGACCAAATGATGAGAGTATCTCCAATCTTCAGTGAAGTCTTCTATTTTCTCCCTTTGAAACCAAAAGAAAAGGCTCTCTCTTTTTTTGTGTGTGGGGGCTCAAACTCACAGAGATCCGCCTGCCTCTGCCTCCCAAGTGCTGGGATTAAAGGCATGTGCCTGGACACACAAAGTCAGAACTTCATCTTTAAGAAACATGAAATTTTAGAAAGGCCTTCTCTACAAGCCCCATCAATAGGCCTTTAGTGCAAGGTCATCTGACACTGGGCCTGGTCCACCTGCCTCACAGCGAGAAACTGCATCCCTTTCTCCTCGAGAAGAGGGAGTTGTGGCCTGTTGTGGTGCAGGCAGGCATTCTCCTTGTTCTCCCTTTATCCTGAATACTTAGGTCACGATGGAGCTGTGAGCACCATCTGCTGGAGCCATGACAAGAGATGGCTGCTGTCTACAGGCCGGGACCGGACACTGAGGGTGTGGTCAGTTCATAGGAGAGAACTCATGCTGCTTTTGGTAATGTATCCATGAGCACATATGTCATGGCGGGTAGTGATGTCCCAAGCCGTGGACAGTCACAGCCGTCTGCCTCCCTGTAGGAAACAGCAGCAATAGGTAGAATGAGGAGCTGTTTCACTACCAGAGAAACACGATGGTGGGACAGTTTCTTATACTCATCCACATATGAAATGCATGCGTACATAACACATGGGAACACACTCTTGGTGTGTATATGTACATTGACAAATACATTTCATATATATATTTGCATTGGTAATGGTATGAAAATGCCAGCAATACCCATAGTAAAACATGGATGGTTTTATGTTAGTTCACCATCATATCACAGAGGCAATAATGATGGACAAGAGGACTTGCTGAAATGAACTATGTAAGGTTATTTGGAACTAGCATGGGGAAAGAGAGACAGCATGAAAATCTCACTACTGTGACGGAGAGAGGAGAGGGGTGCTGGGAAATGCTGCTTCTGCTCACGAATCAGGGCCTAACCCAGGAGTGGTGAGCATTTAGAAAAGTCAGAGGGGCTGACTTTTTGATTATAGTATTTAAACTGGTGTTTAACTATAGTGTTTAAACTGGTATTTGACTATAGTGTTTAAACTGGTGTTTAACTATAGTGTTTAAACCTAACAGTAGGTGAAAGTGATAGAAACTGTGCTTTGAAGCTTGACCTTTTCTAGCACTACCAACCCAAGGATGCAGTGTTCCCTGGTCATGCTGGGCTGCACATGCTCAGTTGGCCTTATGACCCAATGCTCTGCAAGTCTGGATGCTAAGTTGTGGTGCTGTATGATCTGCTAGGCATTGAGTGCACTGTCAGCTGCCATAGTCAGATTCATCACCTCACAAGTCACTCCTCTGGGGAGGTCAGAAGGGCAGAGGGGCTGTTCAGAGTCAGCACCCTTTAGGGAGTTCTCAGCAGCCCCAGAGGTAGGGGTGGGCTCTACCAGAGCTGGGCCTGACTGTCCATGAGACACAAAGTTGGTAGTAGACACCTAGAACCATGTTCCAAATCATGTTCTCAATTTCATCCTGGATACCCCATGTTTCGTTTACCCCCGTTCTCCCATTTTCTGAGCTGCTGTGACGAGACGTGTGTTCAGGGTGAGGACAGGAGTGCGAGGAGGGATTCGGGGAGACCGCTACAGTGTACCCCAGTGCTCACAGATGTCTGCTTCACAGGGTCCAGGGTCTTTCTCCAAGCCAATAACGTCCGCACAGTTCTACTACATGGATGCTTTCATGCTGCTGTCTTCTGGCCCTGAACTTTGGCTCCTAAAGTACCACATTGACCTCTGCAGGGATGACATGCGGAGGTAGGTGGCCTCCTCCCTGCTTCTAGCCCTTCTGATCCCGCCCTACCTCTTCATTCCTAGAGACACACACCTTAACATTTTATAAAAGAAGGAAGGCGGAAGTTCCAGTTACTCGCTCCTCGGTTGTTTCTGTGGTCTCACATCGCATCCCTATCCCGCTTTGCCTGAACCTTTGGTCCGCTCATCTTTGCTCCCAGCCATCACTTTGCCTCTCCACAGGAGCAGGCACTGGTTCGTCTTAGGTGGCGCTCTGAGGACGTCTCTGCCTCTGCCTCTGCCTCTGTAGCCCCTGTTCTTTAATTATCTTAAGAAAATAACTGTGGATGAATGGAAAGATGGATGCAAGGAGTGTGTGTAACGTAGAAATGCTGGGAAACTTAATGCATAGTTGAACAGTGATACTCATATTCTGTAATTCAATACAAACATTCATATATTACTTAGAGGAATATCTAATAATAATGAGAATTTTTTGATATTTAAAGTAAATTATTTTTTCATAAATATGGGTTTATACTAAAATGTCTGGCAGAATATTCATCACTTACATAAAAAGAGGCATTTTGTTTTCCTTCTATATTTATCACCTTACACAACATATTTGGCTTCCCTAATCAGGGGACTTGATAGGAGCACAGGCAACAATGCAGATGCCTGTTAGAATCCATACAATTTCTTGGATGTCAGCTACTGCAATTTTTCATAACATCTTTGTCATTATAGGCAGGACACACCATCTCATCACGGCAGGTATAAATGACGCAAGTCAGAGTGAGGAGCTCCTGTTCGTCTGCTGTACCTAGAGCTCGTGTGGTGGGCTGACCATGCAGTGTTAGACCCATCTTTCATTATTCTGGTCCAGTGTGGAAACTAACCCAACCCCCTCCTTTCATCCCACTCACCCCAGCCCACCGAGCACATTTCCCTTCTCATCCACCATATCCCATCTTCCTATACTATTCTTCCCATACCATCCCATCTAACCCCAACCCATCTCTCAAGCCCACCCTATATCATCCATACCATCTGATCCCATTGCATTGGATCCCATCCCTCTATCCCATCGTACCTACTCAATCCCATCCTACCCCATCTCATTTATCAAACCTCATCCTATACCGTCCTTCCCCATCTGATCCCATCCCTCCATCCCAATCTACCCGACACGACCCCATCCTGTCTCACCCCATCCCATCCTGTCTCACCCCATCCCATCCTCTCTCACCCCATCCTATCCTATATCACCCCATCCTATCTCACCCCACCCCATCTTCTCTCACCACATCCTATCTCACCCCATCCTATCCTCTCTCACCCCACCCCATCCTATCTCACCTTATCCCATCCTATCTCACCCCATCCTATCTCACCCCATCCTATCTCACCCCATCCCATCTTCTCTCACCACATCCTATCTCACCCCATCCCATCCTCTCTCACCTTATCCCATCCTCTCTCACCTTATCCCATCCTATCTCACCTTATCCCATCCTATCTCACCCCATCCTATCTCACCCCATCCTATCTCACCACATCCTATCTCACCACATCCTATCTCACCCCATCCCATCCTCTCTCACCTTATCCCATCCTCTCTCACCTTACCCCATCCTATCTCACCCCACCCCATCCTCTCTCACCCCATCACATCCTATCTCACCCCACCCCATCCTATCTCACCCACCCCATCCTCTCTCACCTTATCCCATCCTATCTCACCCCACCCCATCCTCTCTCACCTTATCCCATCCTATCTCACCCCATCCCATCCTCTCCCACCTTATCCCATCCTATCTCACCCCATCCCATCCTATCTCACCCCATCCCATCTTATCTCACCCTACCCCATCCTACACCACCCCATTCTATCCTACCCATCCCATCCTATTCCACCTTGCCTCACCCCGTTCCACTCCAACTCATACCATCCCCAAACAGAAAGTACTGCCTGCTGTGATTGGCAGCTCCTGTCAGGAACACCAGAAGCTAAAGTAGGGTGATGTGGGTCCCAACAAGGACGTCCGTCATTGGTGAACTGCTCTGTGCCAGACATCTTTGAAGTCACCAATGCTTATATTTTCTGTGATCACCACTATGGCTTCTAGTCTAACCCAAATTTTTCTTATGGTGTGAATGGACTTTTCCTTTTCTGTTTTTTTTTCTTGACAGTATTTGCCTGAATGGGCAGACATAGGCTTAGAAATAACTAATCCAAAATACAGATGGTGGCAGTGAAGAGTAGGGGCCAGGGCTTCTAACGGACATGCTTTTACTTCTGGAAGCTGATTGAGGACAAAGACTGGGTTATCTGTGTGGCCTTCTTTTGGGTTCTCTTTTGTTCTGTGCACCTCTGCCTGGCCACCTTTCAGGAGAGCCTTCCCTCACCCTATGTTTCCTAGTTTTAACACGTTTTCCCAGACAAAGTGACTTCTTCCTCAGCCACCCTCCTGTGTAACTGAAGCAGTGCTTCATTATGGCATCCATGTGACTGAATGTCACATAAATAAATGTACTGAAACATTTAATTCTCCAGCCTCCCTCGAGACTTGACGGCACTCCGCTTCTGTATGGTCACCTCTTTCGTGTCCCTTCAGGCCTGGGCCTGCTCCTGGAGTCTGTTGCTCTGAGGCCTGCTCTGGAGTTTCTCAGCTCGAATTCAGTGCTCATCCAGGCAGCTCCCCCCACCACGGTTGGATAACACAAGTGTGTTCCTCATCCCGGACAGTGCAGCGTCTGCCCGGCCTGGCCTAGCTCCTGTGTGCCACCGGTCTGACCCTGTTGACATTCTCTTTGTCTTGTCCTTGCCAAACTGTGCTCGGGCTGGGCTGAGAATCCTTGCTGGTCTGGCCTACCAGTTATTTTCCTGAGGAAATTATTTCCATGGTTAAGATCGTGTGTCTATTAAAGCAACACCCGATGCTCATGTGACCCTTCTGAAGGGAGTGAGGACTAACATTTAGGATAAGATATCAACACTGTGTAACTGGGTGAGCACTTATAAGGGAATATGTAATTATTTTAGAATTAAGAGACAAACTTGCTTTCTCACAGTTAGGAATGAGTTATTTTGGGCTGTATAATATACTGTTATTTTCATGAGGCATTCTAGAGAAAAAAACCACCCAGAATTTCTGATAGAAAATTGAATAAATTTCCCAAAGGAATATTGGTGTGTCTTATTCACTCATTCCCTCAGTATTAAAACATATGACTAAGCAATAAAAATGCTTTATTTTCATTTTTATCCTTTTGAATGTAGAATGTTTAGTTGTAGTCAGAAGTAAAAACACTGGTAATCTCCTCCCCCCTTTCTTCCAGGTATAAACCCAAAAGCAGGTATAAACCTGTTTTCAGGCTCCCGTTAACCAGTGGGGCAGACGTGACCACTCTGTCTGCAGTGAATGACTTTTATTCCCGTATCCTTCCTCCTACCCAGTGGCTGTGCCTTGCACTAAGCATTGCTTTCTGGCAAAACCCTTTTTGGGCATTTGAAAAGCCTCAGGCATTCTGCTAGGCAAAACGGACAGACAGATGGTTCTCCTTGTGGAGTGTGGAATCTTGTGCAACAATTGTAGGTGAAGTAACCTTATCTTATTAATAGGAGGCACCTCCAAGGAAAGATAGTCTGGGTTATGACACAGCACGGTAAGTAATACATAGTCACCTAGTGCATTTTCGTAGTAAACTGACCCACGTGCTGTGGACGTCCTTGTACCCTGTCACCTGCTGTGGACGTCCTTGTACACTGTCCCCTGCTGTGGACGTCCTTGTACACTGTCACCTGCTGTGGACGTCCTTATATCCTGTCACCTGCTGTGGACGTCCTTGTACACTGTCCCCTGCTGTGGACGTCCTTATATCCTGTCACCTGCTGTGGACGTCCTTGTACACTGTCCCCTGCTGTGGACGTCCTTGTACACTGTCCCCTGCTGTGGACGTCCTTGTACACTGTCCCCTGCTGTGGACGTCCTTGTACACTGTCCCCTGCTGTGGACGTCCTTGTACACTGTCCCCTGCTGTGGACGTCCTTGTACACTGTCCCCTGCTGTGGATGTCCTTGTACACTGTCCCCTGCTGTGGACGTCCTTGTACACTGTCCCCTGCTGTGGACGTCCTTGTACACTGTCCCCTGCTGTGGATGTCCTTGTACACTGTCCCCTGCTGTGGACATGCTAGGATTACAGGCACTGGGCTGGCAAAACGCAGCAGATGGCTTTTGACAGGGCGTGGTGTGAGTTCACAACTCGTGTTGGTGACTAGCCACACGGAGGGCTGTGTCTGTGTCTTCATCTTCCCCTCACACTATGGATGGCAGTTGCTGGTGTATGTCCCCACGGTGTCTTGTGCCGTGAGCTGTCGCCCTCACTGGGAGCTCTAACTGGTAGAGTTGCTCTGACTATTTTCTCTGGACCTTCAGAAATTCCTTACTAATTATCCATTTCTGAACGGTGTGAGGTCCCTTCTTTTCTTTTCCTTTCCTTTCCTTTTTTTTTTCCCTGAAGTGGGTTAGAACTGTGTGCCCATAGGTGAGATTGCCGAGATGATCCCTTGACTGAAACCCTGCAGACATCGTACTCACAGCTGGCCGGGACCGGGCTGTGGAAGTTTTTGACCTCAATGTTGGCCGCAGTGCTGCAGTGATAGCCGAAGTCCATTCTCGGCCTGCCCATCAAATTTGTCAGAATAAAGTAAGTTTGTAGATAGTAGGACTATTAGAATTTTTATTCTAAGCTTAATGTATTTAAGAGTTACACATATATTATGATACAAATTTATAACTACTGCCAGGTCCAGTATTTGCTTTTTCTAATCATCAAATTATACTTTCTTCCTTTGCTACAGATTTCTTAAAGATTTATTTATTTTATAGTATTTTTAAATTATGTGTGTATGCGTGTGTGTGTGTGTGTGTGTGTGTGTGTGTGTGTGTGCTCCCGTGTTCTTGGATGTGGAGATGTTAGATTGTCCTGAAGCTGGAGTTGGAGGGGCTTGTAGGCTATCCAGCGTGGGTGATTGGAGTCACTCAGGTCCTCTCCAAGACCAGTGCGTGGCCCACATCTCTAGCCCATACATGGACTGTTTGTTCTTTGTCTTTGATTACTTGTGGATCCATGTAAGTATCTGTGACTGGCATGCATTCTCATTGAAGCTGGGTTAGGTCTGGGTGTGTCAGGTCTGGGTGTGTGTGTGATGGTGAGGATGAGTGGCTGTCACGTCCGTTGCAGGCTGTGGTGGTCTCTGCACCACAGATCCTCCTTGCACTGTTGGATACAGTTATCCTCTTTGAGATATTGTGGGTTTTAAAGCTGTCCTCAGATGTGTTGAAAGGCAGAGCTAATTGATAGTCTAACGGACCAAGTCCTCTCTTAGATAGGTTTCTATTGCTGTCATAAAATATCCTGACCAAAAGCAACTTGGAGAGAAAAGCATTTATTTCAGCTTGCAGTTTGTAGTCACATCCTGGAGGGGAGCCAGGGCAGGAGCTCAAGAGAGGAACTGGGAGGCAGAAACTGATGCATAAGCCATGGAGGAGTGCTGCGTACTGGCTTGATTCCCCTTGCTCTGCTTACTTTCTCTTCTCTTCTCTCTCTCTTTTTTTTTAAAGATTTATTTATTTATTATGTATACAGCATTCAGTCTGCATGGATGTCTGCAGGTCAGAACAGGGCACCAGATCTCATTACAGATGGTTGTGAGCCACCATGTGGTTGCTGGGAATTGAACTCAGGACTTTTGGAAGAGCAGCCAGTGTGTTTAACCTCTGAGCCATCTCTCCAGCCCTCAGCTTACTTTCTTATACAACTCAGACAACCCCTGACGAGGGGTGGCACCACCCATGTGACTGGGCCCTCCCACATTAATTGATAATCAAGAAAACGTCGCACAGACAATCTGATGGAGGTATTTTTTAATTGAGGTTCCTCTTCTCAGGTAATTCTAGTTTGTGCCAAATTTGATGAAACAAAACAAAACAACAATGAAAACAACCAACCAGAGCAGTCCCAAAGTGACTCATCACCTAAAGGCCATCTAAGACTTGTAAGAAAAGCTGACTTTAAAAAGATGTGTGTATGTGTGTGATATATACGTATGTGTTTGTGTGTGAGTGTGTACCATGACACACATAAGGTCAGAGGGAGACTTTGAGTGGCAGTTCTTGCCTTGAACCTTACTCATTGCAGGGTCTCTCTGTTGTTTGTCCCTGGCCTGCAAGCTTCCAGGAGCTCTGATGCCCATTTTCCTGTAGGCATGCTGAGATTATAGGCAGCTGTGACCACAGCCAGTTCACAGGCTCTAGAGAGCTGAACTCAGATAGTCAGGCTTGCAAGGCAAACTTTACCCTCTGAGCTATTTCCCTGACTCCTATTTTTTTTGTTTATTTTTAAATTTATTTATTTATTTGGCAGGGTTTCTCTGTGGCTTTCCTGGAACTCACTCTATAGACCAGGCTGGCCTTGAACTCACAGAGATCCACCTGCCTCTGCCTTCTAAGTGCTGGGATTAAAGGCGTGCTTAGTGAGCCAAGCTAGTAGGAGCATGGAAGACAGTGGTGCCGAGTGTGATTTGATGAGCTGCGAGGGCCTGGCTCAAGAGATTTCAGGAGAAGAATAATACGTGGCAGAGAGATCATTTTTGTGAGAGTTTCGTGAAGAATGTGGCTGTTTTTTGCCCTTGACCAAAGATTCTGCCTGACGCTAAAGTGAAGAGATTTGGGTTAATTCCGTTGGCAGAGGAAATCTCAAAACAGCCTAGCATAGATTCTATTGTGTGGTTATTAACACTCATAGTTATAAGATTTATAATGAGAAGGAGCAAGCTTAGCAAGGAAAAACACAAAATGAACAATTTGAGGAGAAAAGAGGCACCAGGAAGTGGGATGGAGCTAAGTCCTGTGTTCAAGAAGATAAGCTGATTAAGAAGTGGAGTAAAGGGAGTGGTGACCTCAGAGCAAGATCCCACCCTGCTAATTTCTAACCTGTGAACAGGCTGTGATGTGAGGAATCCTACTTCTGCTTCCCCGCTGTCCCACAAAGTCGAGTCCTTTCCACCCTGGCAGAAACAGCTCATTCCCCCAACAACAGTAGAACCCAGTGTTTCATATCCATGAATAGAATTAGGATCATTTTGATTCTCCGAATATGCTAACTGGCCTGGCTTTCTTCCCTTGGTAGTGTCACAAGCCCACCCTTTTCTACCCTACCCCAAGGTAAGAGGGTCCAGTGCAGCAGGAACTGAGTAGACCCTTCCTCAAGTCCCCCAGGACACACTCCGTCTGGGTGTACCTGGTTTTCTGGTTCTTATTCTCCCTTTAGCAGCTAAGCATTTTGTGCAGCCTCTCCTGAAGATGCAGCCTCTGATCACAAGTCTGTCATTATTCTTGTAACGGGGCTGAGATAGGGACAACAGACTGTGGATGGTGCAGAAGTTAGCAGGGACAGCGGAACGTGTGCTCACAGGTAGGGACAGCGGACTGTGCGCTCACAGATGGGGACAGCCGACTGTGTGCTCACAGATAGGGACAGCGGATGTGGGTGGTGCACAGGTAGGGACAGCGGATGTGGGTGGTGCACAGGTAAGGACAGCGGATGTGGGTGGTGCACAGGTAAGGACAGCGGATGTGGGTGGTGCACAGGTAGGGACAGCGGATGTGGGTGGTGCACAGGTAGGGACAGCGGATGTGGGTGGTGCACAGGTAGGGACAGCGGACTGTGTTCTCACAGATGGGGACAGCGGATGTGGGTGGTGCACAGGTAGGGACAGCGGATGTGGGTGGTGCACAGGTAGGGACAGCGGACTGTGTTCTCACAGATGGGGACAGCGGATGTGGGTGGTGCACAGGTAGGGACAGCGGATGTGGGTGGTGCACAGGTAGGGACAGGACAGCGGATGTGGGTGGTGCACAGGTCAGCACTGTCAGCAGACTGTATGCTTGACAGGCAAAGCCAGCGCTGGCCCAGGCAGATGGTGACATGTCTGTGGGAGGTGTTTTGATTGTTAATTGGCAAAGAGAGCCCAGCTCGCTACGGATCGTACCGTTCACTGGGCTTGTGCTCCTGGGTATATAAGAAAGCTGTCTAAGCATGAGACTGCAATCCGTTCTGGGCTGAGTGAGTGAGTTCCCTGGTCAAAGGTAAGACTGTGTAATAACAAGCAGGTTTGCCTTCAGGTTCACACAGGAGTTCCTGAGCTGACAAATCAATCTCTCCTTCCTCTAAGCTGCCATTGCCAGTGTTTTATCCATAGCCACATGAAGAAACTAGAACACCTGCGAAGGTTTTTTTAAATAAAGAAGAAAGATCTGGTGTTATTTTAAAGATAGTAATAGACCCTAAGACTCAATCTTTTCAATCTAAAAATAAATCATTTGATTTAATAATAGTTAATAGATATTTAGCATTTAATCATTTAATAATACATAGCAATAGAAAAGACTGGCCACCAACCCAGTTCAGACGCATTCGTGTTAATACAGAAGAACAGTGAATCCAACCCTGCTTGTCCAGCTTAACCACTGGAGGCCTCTCTCACAGCCCTGCTCTAGGTGGTGCATAGGAACACTCAAAAGAAGCCTCGCTGGCACTGACCGGAGTGGCCACATTGGCTCCTAAGCTTCTGGCCTACTTCATTCTTACTGACATCTGATGTTTGGGTCAAGTATGACCTAAGTGCTCCTGTGCTTGAACTGGAAGGCCAGCACAAACCACAGCATCCACACGGCTGTGGTGAGTCTGGCCGCTCTGACGTCCTCTGCATCAGTGTACAAAAATGTCAGAGTACAAGCCACCAAACTCACTGCGAGCCTCTGCGGCCTCGTGCCCTTCCTCACATTCCATCACATCCCCTCAGATGTTTACTTTCGGGAATTTAAACGAGGTATTTCCCCAATTACAACAAAAACCCCAAAGCAGAACCATCTTTTCTAACGTAACACCTCCCATCTAAGAGAACAGCACAGCGACTCTCAAAAGATGGTCAGCCCACAAGGCCCAGTGCAGGCACACGTGGACAGAGGCCGTGCAGTAGAGCTTAAAGCCTCTGGTCAGTCCACAAGGCCCGGTGCAGGCACACGTGGACAGAGGCCGTGCAGTAGAGCTTAAAGCCTCTGGTGGACACATTTCATGGGAAGACTCCTAAGAGAAAGGAATGTCTTGGGCTACCACCCAGGAAGAGAACAAGCTAGGCCCTGTTTCTTTGTACCCTTGATGCTTTGCAGACCCGCCTTGTAAAATGGAGTGGAATAGCAAATCTCAGAACTACTTTATGTTGATGCAGACACAATGCTATTTTATTTTAGAGAGCCTGCTTCTGTCTGAGTGTGCTTGGAAGGCAGTGTTGTCTTCAGGTCTTATGCATTGTCTGAGGACACACTGACTGCATCAGGAGTCTGCTGCCTGCCTGGGCCAGCACCAGCTTTGCCCGTAGAGCTACAGTCTGCTGACCGGTTCCACCAGCCTGTCCACCAACCATAGTCTACTGTCCCTGTCCTGGGCAATCCGCCAGTTGAGACTCTTCTGCCAGATAACTCAGGGTTCAACCAGCTTGAGTTTCACAGCTGCGAGGCAGTGAATAGGCCACCAAGTATCAGATTTCTTGACTATAGATGGGGACTGGATAGTTTCCCAGCTGCGAGGCAGTGAATAGGCCACCAAGTATCAGATTTCTTGACTATAGATGGGGACTGGATAGTTTGTTTGCTAAAAGGACGAAGAGCTGAAGAAGTGTGTAGCTGTCTGGCAGTTAATCCTCAGAGTGTGGATTATCACTGGAATTAAACCGAGCCTTTATTTCCTGCTTGTAAATGAGATTGGCTTCTAGGTCCATCTTATATCAAGTCTGTTGTAACACTTCAGGTGATCTTGACATAGCAAGAGGCTGGAATTCTTATGAATTATAGTGTGTTTAAGGAACGATTTGAGCCAAGCGGTCCCTCCGATGGTGTTCAGCTGTTTTACACAGCCATTCTTCTCCGGGGGACCATCAGAGTCCTTGGATGTCACGCCGAGGCTTGCAGAGCATTTGCTCCTGGTGACATGCGGGGTCCTGAGGCCCATAGGACCTTATGTGATTCATCACCAAGGCACCCCACTCGGGTGTCTTAGAGGGTGATAACTGGAAAATAACTCTAAGTGTCATTAAGGAATGCTCCCCATTCCAGATTATGGTCACTACTGAGACACAAACACTGGTGGGTAGACATCTTAGTCTTTTTAAATTTTGCTGCTTTCCAGTTCTGTGGCATTGAGTGTGGAGCAAACAGACATGAACTCCTAAGGTTAGAGTGTATTTGCCTCGTTATGATGCTCGCTGATGTTGTTTAACCTGAGGTCGTGTTCTGAGAGTTACATCATTGGCCACAGAGTGCACTTACCTAGGTTAGTATGCTATGACATCATCAGGCCGTCTTCAGAGGCCCTGTTTAATGTGCAGTCTGCTATCTACATAGGTTGCTGTGCTATTCATGGAGGTTTAGAGTCCCACTCTAAAGCCATACATTTAAGAAAGGTTGTGTTGGCTTCTGCCTTTAGATTCCAGCATTGTTAGCTGCTATCAGCCTTTACAGATTCATGTTGGGGTCTGCGAGATGGCTAAACAGGTAGGGCACTTGAGGCTAAGCCCGAGGATGACGTGAGTTTGGTCCCCACGTCCCTCATGGCAGAAAGAGAGAACCAACTCCTGCAAGTTTATGCTGTGGCATGTATCCCCTAACAAATTAAATAAGTCATGTAATGATTATATATGTATACATACCCATACACACACACACACACACACACACACACACACACACACACACATATATGTTTTGTTTTTGAGACAGGGTTTCTCTGTGGCTTTAGAGCTTGTAGACCATAGACCAGGCTGGCCTCAAACTCACAGAGATCCGCCTGCCTCTGCCTCCCGAGTGCTAGGATTACAGGCGTGTGCCACCACCACCGGGCAGTTAAATGTTTTTGAAAGCTCTTGTTGACTTTTTGTTTTACCCACTGAACAGGGATCATCATTTGCTGCCCAGCAGTCCCTGGCGTATAATCTTTTCCTGACCACAGCTGTTGGCGATGGGGTTCGGCTGTGGGACTTGAGGACTCTGAGGTAAGGCCAGCCTGCATCAAAGCACTGCCCCAAAGGAAGCTGGAGCTGTGCTGCGAACACAGCCTGATCCTGGCTGCAGATAGTACAAAGCCGTGAATAGTCTCGGTGTGCTCTGGAGCGGACGGGCTTGTGCACAGAATCAGTGCAGACACTCGGGGATGGGAAGACCATAGATCCTTACCATACATGTGGCTCCTGGGGGTCAGAGAGGTGAGGAATGGCGTGTGCAATACACTGCAGCTACCCCAGAGAAGGTTTCTTTCTTTTCCTGTCACATGTGTCTTGCTTACACTGGACACTGGCACTGGGCTCACATAGCCCCTTGGAGCCACACTGATGGTACTTCTCCTTAGGCTGCTTGATCTGCCTCTTATAAAGGCATTTCTATTTAAGCATTAACCTTTATCTTCTGGTAATTACATATATGTGCATATATATGTATATATATACATACATCCATATATATATAGTCATAAAAGCGGCCAGTGTTAACATATTTTCACAGTGCACAGATACTCACACAGAAACAACTAGCAGTGTGCCTTGTTCTTTGCCGGTAGAAGAAATAGAAAAGCCTCCCTCTACATTGTATGGTATAAGTGAGATCTTGCCTACTATTCAGGGACCCTGTTTGGTCTTAACATGCCCCAGGGTACCCACTAGGTGCTGGCCATGCTTTTCAATACCTATGTAAGGAAGACCTTGGCTACCGCTAAAGGGTGCAGACCATTCCTCTTAATAAAATTACATAAATCATTGTCTTTTTTCCCATGGGTAAGTTTTATGCACCACTTTATAAGTGGTTGTGAAACTCAACCCTCTTACTAGATTGCTACAACTCCCCCAAAGCTATGGGCTGTTTTTGTCCATAATTTACGATTTTAAAAGATTTGTTTTTTTTTTCATTTTTTTTAATAATTTTTTTATTAAGAAAAGAAGAAAAAAAAACATAAACAAAAAACAAGTTTCCACCTCCTCCCAGCCTCCCATTTCCCTCCCCCTCCTCCCACCCTTCTCCCCCTCCTCCCACCCTTCTACCCCTCCCCCCACTCCTCTCCCCCTCCCTCTCCAGTCCACAGAGCAGTCCAGGTTCCCTGCCCTGTGGTAAGTCCTAGGTCCTCCCCCCTCCGTCCATATCTAGGAAGGTGAACATCCAAACTGGCTAGGCTTCCACAAAGCCAGCACATTAAGTAGGATCAAAACCCCGTGCCATTGTCCTTGGCGTCTCATCAGCCCTCATTGTTCGCCATGTTCAGAGAGTCCAGTTTTATCCCATGCTTTTTCGGTCACAGTCCAGCTGGCCTTGGTGAGCTCCCAGTAGATCAGCTCCACTGTCTCAGTGGGTGGGTGCACGCCTCGTGGTCCCGACTTCTTTGCTCATGTTCTCCCTCCTTCTGCTCCTCATTGGGACCTTGGGAGCTCAGTCCAGTGCTCCAGTGTGGGTCTCTGTCTCTGTCTCCATCCATCACCAGATGAAGGTTCTATGATGATATGCAAGATATTCGTCAGTATTGCTCTCGGATAGGGTCATTTCAGGTTCCCAATCCTCAGCTACCCAAGGAACTAACTGGGAACCTCATGTTGGGCACTTGGGAGCCCCTCTAGGGTCAAATCTCTTGCCCACCCTAAAGTGGTTCCCTTAACTAAGAATTGTGGTTCCGTGCTCCCCTATCCACCTTTCCTTTATCCCAATTCTCCTGATTCCCCAAATCCCCCCTCCTTCCCTTCTACCTTTTCTCTCCCCATCTCCCCTTACCCCCATCCCACCCCACCCCCAAGATCCTAATTTTCTCCCCGGCAATTGGGTCTACTTCCCTTAGCCAAGAGGATAACTATATGTTTTTCCTTGGGTTCACCTTCTTACTTAGCTTCTTTAGGTTCACCTATTGTAGACTCCGTGGCCCTAATTTATGGCTAGAAACCAATTATGAGCGAGTACATCCCATGTTCATCTTTTTGGGTCTGGGACACCTCGCTCAGGATAGTGTTTTCTATTTCCATCCATTTGCCTGCAAAATTCGAGAAGTCATTGTTTTTTACCGCAGCGTAGTACTCTAGCGTGTATATATTCCATACTTTCTTCATCCATTCTTCCATTGAAGGGCATCTAGGTTGTTTCCAGGTTCTGGCTATTACAAATAATACTGCTATGAACATAGTTGAACAAATGCTTTTGTCATATGATAGAGCATCTCTTGGGTATATTCCCAGGAGTGGTATTGCTGGGTCCAGGGGTAAGTTGATCCCGAATTTCCTGAGAAACCGAAACACTGACTTCCACAGTGGTTGCACAAGATGGCATTCCCACCAGCAATGGATGAGGGTACCCGTTCCTCCACAGCCTCTCCAGCAAAGGTTATCCTTGGTGTTTTTGACTTTAGCCATTCTGACAGGTGTAAGATGATATCTCAAAGTTGTTTTGATTTGCATTTCCCTGATTGCTAAGGAAGTTGAGCACGACTTTAAGTGTCTTTTGGCCATTTGAACTTCCTCTGCTGAGAATTCTCTGTTCAGTTCAGTGCCCCATTTTTTAATTGGGTTAATTAGCATTTTAAAGTCTAGTTTCTTGAGTTCTTTATATATTTTGGAGATCAGACCTTTGTCTGTTGTGGGGTTGGTGAAGATCTTCTCCCAATCAGTAGGTTGCCTTTGTGTCTTATTGACTATGTCCTTTGCTTTACAGAAGCTTCTCAGTTTAAGTAGGTCCCATTTATTCAATGTTGCCCTTAATGTCTGTGCTTCTGGGGTTATACATAGGAAGCGATCTCCTGTGCCCAGCTCCTGTAGGGTACTTCCCACTTTCTCTTCTATCAGGTTCAGTGTGTTCGGGCTGATATTGAGGTCTTTAATCCATTTGGACTTGAGTTTTGTGCACGGTGATAGATAAGGGTCTATTTTCATTCTTCTACAAGATGACATCCAGTTGTGCCAGCACCATTTGTTGAAGATGCTTTCTTTCTTCCATTTTATACTTTTAGCTCCTTTATCGAAAATCAGGTGTTCATAGGTTTGTGGGATAAAATCCGGGTCTTCTATACGATTCCATTGGTCGACTTCTCTGTTTTTATGCCAGTACCACACTGTTTTCATTACTGTAGCTCTGTAATAGAGTTTGAAGTCAGGGATGGTAATGCCTCCAGAAGATCCTTTATTGTATAGGATTGTTTTGGCTATCCTGGGTTTTTTGTTTTTCCATATAAAGTTGATTATTGTCCTCTCCAGATCTGTGAAGAATTTTGATGGGATCTTGATGGGGATTGCATTGAATCTATAAATAGCCTTTGGTAGAATTGCCATTTTTACTATGTTGATCCTCCCAATCCAAGAGCAAGGGAGGTCCATCCATTTTTTGGTATCCTCTTCAATTTCTTTCTTCAATGCCTTAAAGTTCTTGTCAAATAGATCTTTCACTTCCTTGGTTAGATGTACCCCAAGATATTTTATGCTGTTTTTGGCTATTGTGAATGGTGAAGCTTCTCTGATTTCCCTCTCTGCTTCCATATCCTTTGTGTATAAGAGGGCGACTGATTTTTTGGAGTTGATCTTGTATCCTGCCACATTACTAAAGCTGTTTATCAGCTGTAGGAGTTCTTTGGTGGAGTTTTTGGGGTCGCTTATGTACACTATCATATCATCTGCAAATAACGAAAGTTTAACTTCTTCCTTTCCAATTCGAATCCCCTTGATTCCATTATGTTGTCTTATTGCTATTGCTAGAACTTCAAGCACTATATTGAAGAGGTATGGGGAGAGTGGACAGCCTTGTCGTGTTCCTGAGTTAAGTGGGATGGCTTTGAGTTTCTCTCCGTTTAATTTGATGTTAGCTGTCGGCTTGCTGTATATAGCTTTTATTATATTTAGGTATGACCCTTGTATCCCTAATCTCTCCAAGACTTTTAACATAAATGGATGTTGAATTTTGTCAAATGCTTTTTCAGCATCTAATGAAATGATCATATGGTTTTTTTCTTTCAGTTTATTTATATGCTGGATTACATTGATAGATTTTCGTATGTTGAACCAGCCCTGCATCTCAGGAATGAAGCCTACTTGATCATAATGGATAATTTTTCGGATGTGTTCTTGGATTCGATTTGCCAGTATTTTGTTGAGGATTTTTGCGTCGATATTCATGAGTGAGATTGGCCTGTAGTTCTCTTTCCTGGTTGAGTCTTTGAGTGGTTTTGGTATCAGGGTAATTGTGGCTTCATAAAAGGAGTTTGGTAATGACCCTTCTGTTTCTATCTTGTGGAATACATTAAGGAGTATAGGTATTAGATCTTCTTGGAAGATCTGGTAGAATTCCACATTGAAACCATCTGGTCCTGGGCTTTTTTTGGTAGGGAGGTTTTTGATAACCTCTTCTAATTCTTCGCGACTAACAGGTCTATTTAGATTGTTCACCAGGTCCTGATTTAACTTTGGTATATGATATTTATCTAAAAAAGTATCCATTTCCTTTACATTTTCCAATTTTGTGGCGTATAGGCTTTTGTAGTAAGATCTAATGATTCTCTGAATTTCCTCTGTGTCTGTGGTTATGTCCCCCTTTTCATTTCTGATCTTATTAATTTGCAAATTCTCTCTCTGCCGTTTGATTAGCTTGGATAGTGGTTTGTCAATCTTGTTGATTTTCTCCAGGAACCAGCTTTTTGTTTCATTGATTTTTTGTATTGTTTTCTGTGTTTCTATTTTGTTGATTTCAGCCCTCATTTTGATTATTTCCAGTCTTCTACTCCTCCTAGGTGAGTCTGCTTCTTTTTTTTCTAGAGCTTTCAGGTGGGCTGTTAAGTCTCCAATGTGAGCTTTCTCTGTTTTCTTTAAGTGGGCACTTAGTGCGATGAACTTTCCTCTTAGGACTGCTTTCATAGTGTCCCATAAGTTTGAGTATGTTGTTTCTTTATTTTCATTGAATTCCAGGAAGACTTTAATTTCTTTCTTTATTTCTTCCTTAATCCAGCTATGGTTCAATAGTTGACTGTTCAGTTTCCATGACTTTGTATGCTTTCTGGGGGTAGCATTATTGTTGAATTCTAACTTTAATCCATGGTGATCTGATAAGACACAGGTGGTTACTAATATTTTTTTGTAACTGTGGATGTTTGCTTTGTTACCGACTATGTGGTCGATTTTCGAGAAGGTTCCATGAGCTGCAGAGAAGAAGGTATATTCTTTCCTATTTGGATGGAATGTTCTATAGATGTCTGTTAAGTCCATTTGATTCATTACCTCCACTAATTCTCTTATTTCTCTGTTAGGTTCCTGTCTGATTGACCTGTCCATTGGTGAGAGAGGAGTGTTGAAGTCTCCTACTATTAGTGTGTGCGGTTTGATGGCTGCCTTGAATTTTAGCAATGTTTCTTTTATGTACGTGGGTGCTTTTATATTAGGGGCATAGATGTTCAGGATTGAGACTTCATCCTGATGAACTGTTCCTGTTATGAGTATAAAATGCCCCTCTCCATCTCTTCTGATTGATTTAAGTTTAAAGTCAACTTTGTTAGAGATTAGTATGGCCACACCTGCCTGTTTCTTAGGTCCATTTGCTTGATAGGCCTTTTCCCAGCCCTTTACTCTGAGTAGGTGCCTGTCTTTGTGGTTGAGGTGTGTTTCTTGTAAACAGCAGAATGTTGGATCCTGTTTTCTTATCCAATCTCTTAGCCTGTGCCTTTTTATAGGTGAGTTGAGTCCATTGACATTAAGTGATATTAATGACCAGTGGTTGTTAACTCCGGTCATTTTTTTTTAGTCGTAGAGTTTGTGTGTTTCCCTTCTTTGTTTTGTGTTGGTGAAGGGTCTCTAGATGTCTGAGTTATTGTGGTCATTGTTGGACTCCTTGGTTAGTGATTTTCCTTCAATTACTTTCTGTAAGGCTGGATTTGTGGCTGCGTATTGTTTAAATTTGTTTTTATCCTGGAAAATTTTATTTTCTCCATTTATAGTGAATGAAAGCTTGGCTGGGTATAGTAATCTGGGCTTGCACCCATGGTCTCTATTATAGAAGAAAACTTTCCCAACCTAAGGAAAGATTTTCCTATGAAGGTGCAAGAAGCATACAGAACACCGAATAGGCTGGATCAAAAAAAAAAACATCCCCTCGCCATATAATTATCAAAACACAAAGCATACAGAATAAGGAAAGAATATTAAGAGCTGCAAAGGAAAAAGGCCAAATTACTTATAAAGGTAAACCTATCAGACTTACACCTGACTTCTCCATGGAAACCATGAAAGCCAGAAGATCCTGGATAGATGTACTGCAAAAGATTTGTTTGAAGAATTTATAATAACCAAATTATAGAAATTGCTTATTTAATATTTCTCATATATAAAGGTTCATCTGCTCTTAGTTTTGTTATCTTTGGGAAGTTATGATTTTGAAAAGAGTTTGAATTATTTTAAAGGTCTCCTTAATTACCTACCATTTACTCATTTTCTGCCCAGTGCTTTCTTTCTCCCCCTGCAGGTGTGTGCGCTGCTTTGAAGGGCATCCACACCGCTGCTACCCTTGCGGAGTTGCGTTCAGTCCTTGCGGAAGGCTTGTGGGCTGTGGTGCAGAGGACAGACATGTATGTATGTTGTGCTTTCTCTAAGTATAGGGTTTCTACGTGGTGTTATCAGTAGACTTTGTTGATAAAATAAGACCTGTTTCAAGCCTGACAGTATTTTAAGAGACTCACCCAGCATGAGCACTCCACAGGTGGCCCAGAGGCTTATGTTTTACTGAAGCACAGTAGCACTTCCATCCATCACTCGCTTCTTCACTTATTCGTCATCACAGACAGTGGCACACACTCCTGAATGCCTGTAATGTGTGGTGTAGGCATGACAGGGTGATGACACTAATCCATACAATGCAGCTCATGTGTGCTAAGGTGCCCTTGTCTCTATTGCATTGCGTAAGAGCTGCATGCTTCTCCCCATGCAGCTGCCACCCTCCTTGCCACAGTTCCTCCATGCCAGATCCACACCCCCTGCAGACTTGGAACACGGAAGTCCTAAAGAGTCCCAGCACTGTGGGACACACTGCCACATAGCTGGAGGCTAAGCCTGGAGAGGAGACCAGCCTCTTGTGCGGTCTTGGTGCTCCCTGGCTGGAAATTGCTGGCTCCTTCCTCTTCCTCCACCATGTGTCTCAAATCCCTCTGCCATCTGAGAGGTCACTTAATGAACTGAGGGCTTGTCTTTTATAAAATGTCCTCATAAAAATCCATTTTGAGAGTCACACGAGGCACAAAAATGGTGGTGCCCAAGCAAGGGCCTAGGTCTGACTGAGGGATGCTTACCGGTGCTGCTGGAGGACAGAGAAGAGCCCCAGTGTGCCTTGTTCTGCCCCAGTCCTGCAACATAGTCTCTGAAAGGAGCTCAGGCTCCATGGGAGAAGACAAGACCTTCTGTTCACAAGCAGGGCATCAGGATGGCAAAATGCTCACACGGTCAGCTGATTCCTTTTCTAGGAGGAGCAAAATTAAGAAGACTGGTGGTCAACAAAATCCTAGAATAAACTAAATAGCTTCGAAAAGAAAAGACTTTAAATATGTGTGGCCCTTTATTCATGGGAACAATGGCTCGTTTCTCTGGAATACGGCTCAACTTCATTTTTAGAAGCAGTTCCAAGGTTTAGCACAAAGCTCTGAAGACTTAAACACCATTGACTCCACTTGTGATTTTGTCTGCCATCATTACCCACAGGCTCTCTGTAACTGACTCTTTGCATTCAGGTAACAACCCAAGGCAAGTGTGTTCTGAGAGCTCACTGGTTGGCTTCGCATGTGGTATTATAGATCACAGTGCTTCAGCTTTTTACAAAAATGGGTGTTTGGCACTTAAAAGCACCCTCCTGTTTCACTGCCACCAAAGGGAGGAGCGCTTTGGTATTCCTTTGTCAAACTGGAATGAAAGCCAGAGCTATCCGCTCCTCGTTCAGACAGTGTTCAGAGCAGTGGGGTTTTCAACCACCGCTCATGACCCCTTTGGGAGCCGCTCAGCAGATATCCTGCATAGCAGGTATTTACCTTAGGGTTTCAAACAGTAGCAAAATTACAGCTATGAAGTAGCCACAAAATAATTTTATGGTTGGGGATCAACACAGCATGAAGTCACAGCATTAGAAAGGTTGACAGCCGTTGTTTTAGAAATAGTTCATGGAAAATACTACTATGGTGTATGAAAGAACATCTGCAAACTGCCTGAAAAGTGCGCAAGGGGTCTCTGGAGGCTGAGTCAGCAGAGCGGGCTTCTCTTCTCTCTCTCTTTCTCTCTCCCTTCCCTCCATCCTTCCTCCCTTCTTTCCTTCCTTCTTTCCTTTCTTCTTTTCTTTTTACTATAATAAGGACTTGGACATTTGTTGAAGTGAAAAGCAATCCACCCCCTTTGCCTGGTATATAGCAGCTGCTTAGTAAATATGGATGTCTACCAAGTGTAACCTTTGTCTCTCCTCCTTCATTGTCTGTAGAAATGGGGTTGGGCCTCAGGTCTGACCCATATGCAGATATACTGAGCACCTGGTATACACCAGGCTCTGAGTTTCGTATAAGAAAGGACTCCTACCCAGAAAGACTTCTAAAGTAGGAGAATAAGAAGTGGAAACACGTAGTATAATATGGTTTGAGAGCTACACACATAGTGTGAAGGAGCTGAGATTTTAACAGTTAGTGACCTCCAGTCCTGTCAGCCCCGAACGTCTGCTTGTCTTGTCTCCTAGGCCTACGTGTATGAAATGGGCTCCAGCAGCTTCCTCTACCGTCTTGCAGGACACACAGACACAGTCACTGAGGTGGCCTTCAACCCAGCAGCTCCTCAGGTACAGTCTCCCAGTGTGACCAGGGCCTCTCCAGTTCATACTGTCTTACGATACATGCAAAAGATGGCCAGGTTTTCTTTTGATGAAGTCTCCATGGTATTAAAGAGTGCAGACAGCTGTGCCCAGTACCTGTAATCCCAGTGCTCCAGAGATTGACGCAGAAGGGTCATCCTGAGCTACATATCCATTGCGGGGTCAGCCTGGGTTTTATGTGATCCTGTCTCAAAAAAAAAATCAAAATGAGGAAAAGATTATATGATAGTTTTGGGTACCAGGAGAGGAAATTTGGTAGTAAACTTACTGAGAGAAAGAGAAATATAGATTTCTTAGTCTTTAACATTGAGTATGTTTGCTCTTACTGCATTATAGAAAGCCATATGTACCCAAAGGCAGATGCAGCTCTGTGCAAGCCAAGTGCAAACACTGTAGACAGAACTCAGAAAGCAAGCAGAAGCCAGGTGTGAAAAGAATTTGGGAGCACGAAGGGTACCGCAGAGTTTGTAAAGACACTGTCCTAATGACTGAAGGCCAGGAGGGAATAAGAGTTTCAAACCAGCTGTGTAGAAACATGGATGCTATGGACAATGTGGAAGACTTAAAAGTGTTCTGTATCTGCTGACTGAGTCTTCAGGAATGTCAGCTTCACCTGTCTTTCTATAACCCAAGCTTTGATTACGAGAAGGAATCGCGTTACATGTGCTTCAGCCTGACCTGTGTGCAACAGCGTTCTGTTAACCCATGCTTGTCTCTGACACTGAATTGCTGTGGTCCAGGACCTGCTGGTGTTCCTGCACATGCTTGGCTTTGACTCTAGACATCCTGTCATGTGATGTAAATCAGTGCTGCTTACCATGTGCTCTGCAACACTAACCTGCTGGTGCTGCTGGTTACTCCCAGTTCCTTTCTGAGCCCTGATCCTGTGCATTGGAGTTAGGGTTGGGTCCTCTGTGGTACCAGCCGTCTTCCGTCGTGTCGTGTCGTATAGTGTAGGGCTCTGTGAGGCACAAGCATAGTTCACGCTCACTGTAGAGAGTCAGCTTCATTCCTTTATCATCTCTGAGAACTTTCTTGTTTGAGATGTGCTGTGTCTGAGAAGCATATTGGCTGCTCCTGAGTCGTTTGGTTAGTGTTGGCATCACATCTATTTCATAGTCCATTGATTTTAACACCTATGTGTATGTACTTTAAATGCGGTTTCTTGTAAATAGTATGCATTTAGATTTTTATCATGGTTTGTTATTTGTTCCAGTTTTTGTGTTTTTTCCCCCCTCTTTTTCTGACTTTTGTGGCGTTGATTGAGTGTGATTCCACCTTTCTCCTTTCTTAGTGTATCAGCTTTAACTTGTAACTTTTCAGTTCTTACTCCTTTTGGCCTTGTGATGCTCATCCTAAAGTTTTCATTATACATTTATAACTAGGTTTACAGACTAGCAAGCTGACGTACAGATCCTGTGAGTGCACAATAACAACGTTCGCATTCTTCTCCATCCCTCGCATTTCCCATTATTTCACTGACAATTGCATTGCACCGACACCTTCAAATGCACAGCTGCATTCACACCTACACCTTCAAATGCGCTGTTGCTCTTCTTTTAAATCAAGCGGGTTTTTTGTTTGTGGAGAGAGGGGTTAGGTCCATCAATTATTGGAACTTTTATTTTGCCTCCAGTTTCTTCTCCTGGATGCTCATCTTGACATGAATCTGAATTTACAAACCATTGTCTTTCTGCTGAAAGAACGGATTTCAGGGAAGGCTTTAGAGAGGAAGCTTTGTTGGGAACAAAATCCTCCTCTTTCTCTCTTTTTAGGGGGCCGAGGATGTTTTACTTTTTTTTTTTTAAGAGAATTTCCCAAGGTACTAAATGAGAGATTCCCTCTCCCCTTTCAGTACCTGTTCTCTACGTCACTGTCTCCGTGTTTGCAAAGTTTCTGAGAACTGGCTCGAATTCTTACTCTTTTCTTTGCAGGTTCGTTTCTTTCCGGTTTCTTTGGAGAATTTTTCTTTTTCTGACTTTTCTTCATTTTGTAAATGCTGTTCCTAGCTGTAGTTTTGTTGGTGTTTATCCTGCATGAGTTCTCTCAGCTTCCTGACATTGCTTTAGGGAAATTCAGTTCATCCAAATTACACCTTTTACTCCATTCGCTCTCGTTTCTGGGTATTCCTACGACACATTTGGATTCACACAGCTCATGTTTTCCCACACTCTTTGGATCTTCTGTTCTAAGTGTCCTGCTTTCCAGAATTTATTTATGCATATTCTTTGATTCTGTTGCCCTACTTGAACTGCACACGCATTCTGGCATGCTGGCTGCCTTATTCCTCGAAGCTCACGCATTCTGGCATGCTGGCTGCTTTACTCCTTGGGCTCTCCCTTAGCAAGTTAATCTTTGTTTTTGAAATTCAATTTGTTTCCATTTTAATATCTCTACCATGTAGAATATGCTTCTGGTGTTGATACATTTGTTGAAATTCCTTTTGGACTTTTGTATGATTTGTAATTTTTTTGTAAAATTTAGGTGTATAATGTTTAAGTTGAAGGAAGCACTGAAAGCTCCTCTAGCACTGTGATGAGGTTTTTATCTTATGAACCTGGTCCCTGGGCTCAGCCTTCTCACACTGTACATGTAGATGGGACAGGCTAGCTAACTGAAGTTACAATTTTTCCTTTCCGGGTTATTTAAGCTCTAGCAGCCCCCAGCAGGAGGGGGGCTGTGGTTGGTTGGTTCCCTGACAGCAGGCCTGAGGAGGACAAATGCTCCTAGGTGTTTTAGGAACACCCAGTGGTTCCCATGGAGATGGAGGTTCTCACAGTGGGGCTTCTCCCCTGGAGGTTTGAATCTCTGACTTGTCCTGTTTGGCCTTTGTGAAGGGCAGTGCCCGTGTCCTTGAAGGTACTGGTTTTAGTCACTCTATCTGGGCGGCGGGGGTTCCTTGCTTTCCTCCTTTCTCTAGCAGGGTCACTGCTTTGCCCTGGGTCTTCTCTCTGGGAGCACAGAAAGGGACCAGGGTTGAGTCTGTTCAGCTGTTTATTAGGACAGAGTAGAACTCCCACATTCCTACTTCTAGAATGAGATTGGGGGTTCCCAGAAGCCCTAAGTCTAAGGTGCATTGTTATAGATACATCTCTATAATGTCTCTGTTATACATCTCTATACATCTCTGCTCAGAAAGCTGCCAACCTGATGAAAAACCATTCCCTCCCTGGTTTTAGAAAATGCTCCTAGTCCTCCTGATCCAAGTATTGCTAATATTTAGAGGTTCACTCCAGCAAGAAGGGAGGCAAAACTTTTTTCCTGAGATGCAGTCTTGGACACATTTCCCAGATTGTCAGTATAGATAACTTGGCTCCACACAGAGTCATGGCAAGTGTCGCGAGTTCCAATGCAGCATGCCAGTTGTTATGGCTCTGGGGACCATTAGGATGGGGAGGGAGCAGAAGAGACCTCAAGTTCATAATAAGTCTTTCTTATCTTAAGAGGTTGAGTTTGAACTCGGGGGTCATATGAACTGAGGGAGCCTATTATACAGTCCTTCCCCAAAGAGGTTGAAGAATAGGATCTGCTTTAGTGGGAAGCTAGACAAGGCTGTGATGGAGGAAGTTCATTGGTTAAATAAAAAGAAACTGCTTGGCCCTCATTGGTTAGAAGATAGGTGGGAGGAGTAAACAGAACAGAACAGAATGCTGGGAGGAAGAGGAAGTGAGCTCAGACTCCACAGCTCTCCTCTCAGGAGCAGACACCTCAGAGAGAGACACCATGCTCCCCGCTCCCGGGAAGATGCACGCGATGAAGCTCCGACCCAGGATGGACGTAGGCTAGAATCTTCCCGGTAAGACCGGTGCTACACAGATGATAAGAAATGGGCTAGTCCAGGTGCGAGAGTTAGCCTAGAAGAGGCTAGATAGAAATGGGCCAAGCAGTGTTTGAATGAATACAGTTTGTGTGTTGTTTTTTTGGGCATAAGCTAGCCAAGCAGGTGGCCGGGGTGCTGGGAAGGCAGCCCCACCGTTCCTATTACTACAAATGGCACCCAACGTGATGGGCTAAACCCATTTAAAAAACATGAGAAGGCTTAAAAAAAAGGGAGAGAGAGTTTAACACAGATTTTTGCTGTTTGTTGGTGGCGTGCTGTAGAGAGATTTCCTGATTCGGCAACAGCAGCAGAAAAAACGCTGTGTCATTTTAAAGTGCAGCTTCTTGGGGCTGTGCTGCCAGTGTGAACTCTGGCTTTAAAGCATTTCAATGGATTTTATGGGACTGGATGTTTGTGTTCCCACTTGGGATCGGAAGGAGAGTGCTCTGAGACTTGCCGACGGCTCAGTGCTTCCCGCCTGCACCTGGGCAGATGGCCGAATCAGGCTTAGGCAGGCGGAAGAGCATGGCGGATTCCTGAGGGAGACGTGTTTTCAGACTGCGCAGTGTTTTGCGTGTCAGATTTGGATGTAACTTGGATGAAAAGAATTTCTGTGCTGCACGCTCAGTCTCAGAATTAAAGTGCTGAGTGCCGCTCCTACCTGGCGGCCCCAGAGCTAGCACAAAATGGTACGTCCTCCATTTTGTAATTATCCCGACTCAACAGCAGGAAAAAACCTGTGTTGTTTTAAAATGCCGGCTTTCTGGGCCATCCTGCCAGGGCAAACTCTGACTGTTTGAGGCAGGAGGGCCGGCTACAGAGAGAGGACTTGAGTGTTGTCTGTTGTAGCTCGCTGGCTGGCAGGGACCTTGAAACACCATAGAGTTGTAGCTATAAACATGGCTACAGCCAGTACCTCAGCCATGAGGCTGGAAAGCTAAGGAATGGGCTAAATCTAGCCAGCAAAGCCACGGCTTTAGTCCTAATGAGATTGCTTGGTAAATTAAAGACTCATGTGGTCAGAAAAACAGAGAGAGATACAGTAAAGAGAGCGTCAAAGACAAAGAAAATTTTTAAATGATTTACAGCGTGTTAAAAATATATGCAGACTAAAAGTTAAAATTCTTAAAGTAAAAAACAAAAAAAA